GAGAGCACCAACGCATTCCAGTTCTTATAGTGCAGACATGACGGAACGGATTCGCACCGCCTTCCAGCCCAAGATCAGTCCTACATCTCTGGGCTCACCAGGTACACGTATTGGTAACGTACGAGCTGTCAAGCCAGCGGACTCAGAAGGGAGTCTCACTTCCAAAAGAGATAGCTCGTCATCTTGCCGGACGACCTTCTCCGACGGTAGTTCATCCTCATCAAACGATGGGTCGCCTTTAGCGCAAGTCAATCTTCGAGTCGGGTCGATGACTGTCAGCAAGTGGCTCACATTTGGTCATGTGCTGTTTAGTGACGTCCGGCACGAGCTGACCCCCGTCAAGACTTCCTCTAAGCAGCATTCTGTCCTTGTCATTGACGGCCTTGGGAATGATGATTGGTCATTTTATGCCGCGGAGACGTACCCAGATGCTTCGTTCTTTAACCTTTCTCCTCGGGCACCACTTCCAGCTGAACCCAGGAATTCGTCTACTGGGTTCCTTCTGAGCCCGTCAAATCACCATCAAGTACAGTACACATCTCATCTGGAAAAATTTCCATTTGCACCGCAGAGCTTTGATGTTGTTGTGTATCGGTTCCCAATAGCTGCCTCCGAGACCCATTATCGAAATATTTTGAATGAGGCACGGCGAGTTCTTCGCCCAGACGGATATATCGAGCTTTCGATTCTGGACTCTGATCTCAACAATATGGGCAATCGCGGCCGACGAATGATTCGACAGCTTAAAGAGCGAATTCAGCAAAATTCCCCTGAAACGACATTTGCATCTGCTTCTGATTTAACAGTACGCTTGCTAGGCAAGGCAGGATTCTCTAACATCAAGGCTGCTCGAGTTGGAGTACCTGTGGCCAGCTCAATCACACGATCAAGCAGCCACATGTCGGAGAGCAAGCGTGGATCTGACAAGACGAAGAAAACCCGTCCAAGTTTGGCAGAGATGATGCGTGACAATAGTCCATTAGCGGATGCAAATATAACGAAGATTGTCACGAGGGTTGGTCGTTGGTGGTATACCCGGTGCTATGAGAACGCCTGCGGTGTCGGTTCTGATAGCAGCATTTGGAACGACAAGAGTTTGCTTTCTGAATGTGAGCAATTAGGCACTAGCCTGAAGCTGATGGTATGCTGCGCGAGGGCACCGGAACGGATCACCAGCTTCTAAAGCCACACAGCGGGCTCCAAGCGCCATTTTTGCCCTCCACAAATTCATTACTTGCATGCAATATCATAAGGGGCCAACCTCTTTTTTTTTTTCATTTTTTTTTTTCACTTACAAAAGTCAATTTCGCCTTTTAATTGGATTTTGTATTCCAGGTGGCATTACAATAGACGAAAGCCCTCTTCGTCGGGCAAAATTTCTCACGAAATCAGCACCGTCAAATGAACCTGTATGGCGCAACTGCGAGACTCTTCCCCAGTCTCATTTTTTCCTGGATGATCTACGGTCAGCTGAAATTTCGGCTCACCTCTAGCATACATTAGTTGCCTTATAATTCCCCAAGGTCACGCCTAGTTTGTTTCTAGGAATTTCTAGCTCCTACTTATAGCTTTCAGCTGGATTGAAGGATATGGCGTAGTTAGCTGTTTTTTTGGCCTGGGTTCTTATTCTGTTTTTATTCAAGCCTTTGACTTTATTTCTCATGGTTGTCGCTGAACAGACCGGGGCATGGTCATACTAAGAACCGAGGGTGTGGATTTAATACTCGCGATGGGGGGATGGACGTGGGCAATGCTGGCCATTGCACTCTCTCCTTTTGCTTCTCAGGGGATGGCAGAGTGCATTGGACTTGAAGAACTTGGTTTCGGACTACCGCGAAGCATTATCAATGTGGAGCACGGCGTGCATGGAGAGCATCATTTGAATGGTTGACGTTGGCATTGGGAATTGGGGAATGCATTTATGACATGTGCATGAGATACCCATCGGCTTTATTTGGGTAGCGAGAATACTTAGCAAGCGATTTTGTTTTATTTGCTAAACTCATGAGCTGCAATTGACGCGATGGCTTGTTTATATGAATATCCTAGAAATGGTCCCGCGGAGATTGTAGAATACAGCCTAGATGGCATGGAACATATATTTGTACATGGTGGTTTACTACCTAGGTAGGTAGATGTCTAGAATGCAACCTATACTACTGTTTTTATTACAAACCGGCGTAGTGTCTACATGGGTATCATATGTATGCTTTCATCTTAATCCTTCTCTTGACTCTCGTTCAGCTCCCCTTCATTCGCATCTTCCCGTTCTTGTTCCTGCTCGACTGGTTCCCGATCAGCAGGCCATCTTCGCAAAACAGCCACAAACCCCCCGCCGGCAATGCGGTCGCCGACCTTGGGCCGCATGACCTGCACGACTTTCCCGTTCCCGTCCCCGCCTTGCGATGCCTTTGGCACGACGGTCTTTACGTCCCAGTGCCTGCCGCCGCCGGCGTCATGAACACCATCGGACGTGGTCGAGACGGGCAGCTCGAGAACCTTTTCCAGGCGGACGGGCTGGCGCGTTTCGGCGGACCATTTCTGGAAATCGGCAATTTGGCTGATGGAGGGCTTGAAGAGGATGAGGATCCCGTTTGGTAGCAGCGACTCAATCACACGTTGGGCGTTTTCATGTGCGGACGGGAGGTCCAGAATGGCACGGTGCAAAAACGGTTCACCGCGCGATTCGACAAGTCTGCCGGACAGGTACTCGTCGACGCTGCCAATATGGAAGTCTACTGAAGAGAGGTACTGCGCACGACGAAAGTTGCGCACGAGTGTGTAGGCGGCGTGGGTGTGCTTTGGTTTTTGATCCAGGGTATGGAGAATCGCTCGTCGGGACGCTCGATACTCGTCTAGGGCTTGTTCCGCCGCCGGTTCGAGATCAACGCGTGTCAGGGACGGGTTACTCTTTGGCCTGAATCTGGCCTCGCAAATGGCGCGACGTAATTTCGGGGGAAGAGGCGGGTTGGCGGCGTGGATGGCACGAGCAATATGCAGCGTCAGGCTGCCCATGCCCGTACCAGCCTCGAATATCTCGAATGGCGGTGCGTTTTCTTCATCCTCTTCTTCTCCGGGGCGCGATGGGTTCAGGTCCAACAAGGCAACAATGGTATTTGCATCGTGAGGGTAGATGGGCGTCGCGTGTCGCTCGCTGTGGACAATGTAGCTCGAGAGGGTGGGTTCTTGTAGGACTACGCGGTTGCCTTTGCTGTCATGCACAACGTCAAGGAGATTCCTCCCAATTAGGAGCGCCGCGGGGACCGACGCCCCGTACGAGAGCTTTACGTTGCTATCGGCGTTCAGGGGGGCAGTCAGATGCCATTTGGGGTATTTGGAGCCTTGCTGTCGAAGGAAAAGCACATCGAGCTCTGGGAGGAGAATGAGTCGGTTAGCTTCATAGGCGTTTGCCTCGGAGTGGCTTACCTTGTATCCTGCGGTTCGACGAGAACGCTCTAGGTGTGCGCGTTGCTGCAGAGAACTGGCACAATGGTCGATAATTGATGCGACGCATTGTTGCAGATAATTGAGGTGGTGGTGGTGGTGCCGGCTCAAAAGCTTTGAGGACTAGGGGGGGCTGTTGGCTCGTTGGCTGGGCCGAGAAAATTCCGCCATGCTCAACGGCGACATGCGACAACAAATAAAAAGCAGCTACGTACTACTAAGTTCATTGCCTTGCCCGTTGTCGATGGAGACAGAAGTGAGCCATCAATTCGTTGATCCTTGACTGCCACGTTGTACAGTTAGCGTTGACCATGCATCGGGATGTGGCAGTGTGGGCCAGACATCCCTTTGAATGTGCAGAGGAACGTTCCAAGTGTCAGCGCCACTTTTCTGGAATGCCTTAATGTAGTACTATGTACGTATTTAGCATCATTGAGCCTTGACCTTGGTAGAGCTACGGTAAGTGTAATGTAATTCTGTACCTCTTTATAACTCGAGGAATTTTAGAAACTTTTCATCGCCATACCATTTCTTGGAAAAATCATGCACCCTTAAATACTAGATTTCCGATTGGCCGGAACCCAAATTCGGTAAATCCAACGCACCTCCACACATTCAAAGAGGTATATACCAATGTAAAAATGCAGAGTGCGTGCATCCCTGTGATCATGGCAAACGACTTTCAGAACGTAGTGCCGGTGATTCTGTGTTATGTACAGTATCTGCCCGTGGGAAAATTGTATTTGCAGTTGCAGATAAAGATGAAGAAGACGACTACCCCGTGACCTCTATGCAAACGACGAAGGAGCACGGCCATTGCAAGGACCCCTTCCTTCCTCGTCCCCGTTTTGGTGATAGTCCTCGAGATAGCTCCTTCCAGTTCTTGTCTGCTTATTTTGACAGCATGCCGTCCCGTTTCCGTTCGTTGACCTCGTCGTGATGAAAAAGAAACAGAACACACTCGACGTTGTACTCCTCCCGCACCCAATCCATGCTGCTCTCAAGCTACTCCTCACTGTCCCCGTCCATCCACACCCGCGCGTTCGTTATAAAAATGGTAACCAAAGACTTAAATCGCTTCTAATGGTACACGAAGGGCGTGTCTGTTGTGTGCCCTCGATAAACTTTCATTTCCCTAACGCCGACCGCATGAGACCAACCATCGAAAAGGGAGAATAACCCAAGAAAAAGTATCCGAAAATGACAACCTCCTAGGCCGCCATGGGAGTGGCCGGCGGCTGAATATAGGTCGAACAGAGAGACACTCAAGCAAAACAAAAAAAAAACCAGCCCTTCTGCCAGAATGACAGCTGCGTTTTCTCGCCTCCCTCCTTAATCATCTTTCGTTGAGGGTATATAATGTCGACTCCATGGGTATATGGTCCGCGTACCTTAACCTGCCATTTCTCATCTAGCGCTTCCAACTGGTGTGTTGCTTTTATTCCTAGCCGTCGTATGCATGTCAATTAATAACAAGTAGTCTCAAAAAGGCGTCTGAAAAATTGACGCTGGCCACTCTGGTGAAGACCAAATGCTCAGCACGGTGGTCAACTCGATCAGATGAACGAATACTTCCCCGAGCTCATGTGACCCAGAGCAGAAGACCATGCCTCCTGAGCGTCAGGAACATGGACGGCATGATGGAAGTCTTCCTCAAAGTATGGCTGGACCCTGACACCGACGTGCTCTTCTAAAATGGCCACGCCCGAGTCATATCGTCGGCGACATCTCTTGGTCCACGGATCAACCTTCACAGGGCTGTGATAACAGAAGACGTTGGGTTTAGCATCTCGAAGCCCGAACACCACACACATGCTCTTAAGATGGTTCCACAAATCGTGTGCTGCGTGTCTGGTCAAATCAGACTGGGAATTGACCACATACAGCAATTGCAAAATAGAGTACCGCAGGGTTAACGCGTCGGTGCTGTTCGTGCCGTACCGTTGCTCTACTTGCCGCTGTTGAAGCCGAAGTTCGGAGGCCAGCTTATCGAGACGATCGGCATTTACATGATTGTGAAACAGAGCAAGATCTATCCATGTCCTGGTGACGTACGGGTGACGACGGCTGTATATCGCTTCTAATTCCTCCGCAATTGTCGGCATGCTTCCCCATAATAGTTCTGACACTGTTGCTGATCCATGTTTTTGCTGGACTTCATACAAACAAGCAAATATTTGACGCAGCGGGTGTGATCGCTCAAAGTTAGTTGAGGAATACGCAGCCAAATATTTGCAAAGAGCGGTCATCATGCCAGGATCACGATGCACCATGCCGAGTAACAGTTCGTTGATACCTAATGGCGAGAGCTTCTTCAGGTCAAGTTCAAGTTGCTTGAAGGCCTTCATCAAAAAGTCGCCGCCTTGGTCGGCATCCCGTGCTTCGAAATAAAAGTTGGCTTCCAATAGTAAGTCGCTAGATCCGGCACCCCATACCATGGTAATTGGCCAACCGATGCGAGCATCGGTCTCGACTTCGAACTGGCGGCAATGTAAAAATGCTTTCCGCATGTTGCCCACAACAAGCTCCTGCGCGCGAAGCAGGTCGGGAGATCGGAGATATCCAGGTGCTGGAGGCGGCGTCGGTGTTCGGCATCGGACATGAGCTGGCAAGTCAGCAGACAACTCAAAATCGACCAAGTCGTACTCAGTCACGCCCTTTCTCTTCAGATACGTCCCCAGATTCACGACTCGACCATTGCGAACAAATTCAGACACTTTGCCCTCTGCATCGCGCTGGAATTTCATCGATAGCAGTTTCTTTACTTCTTCCTCAGTATTGTTTTTCACAAAACCCCACTGAGAGAATCTGGTCTTGTACATTTTAGGTCTAAAGAGCGTCAGCACAAGAACCAGTGTCCATTCGTTGATTCACCAGTCGTTTGTTCACAAACATACGTTGCTTGGAAGTTATATTTCTCTGCCATGATGGCCATCACTTCCTTCAGTGGTTTCCTCTCCTCCAGATACAACGACCGGATTGTCCCTTTAAATTGCTCCCAAGCCTCAGCAGGAACCTGTTCCCGTGACGGTCGAGTTCCAGCTTGGCCTCGAAGAGAAATTGATCCAGGCTTATGATCCTGACACTTCACGTTAGGATATACTGTTACCACACCATGGCAGATCCAACAGCGAGCACAATACTTACCGACAGTGTTGTGGATGGGGTTAGAGAAGTTGGTGTTGAAGATGCAGGGGGGATCTGAGACGGCGAAGGCGTCATTGGTTCTTGTTTAATATCTGCTGTAAAAGAAATTGGTGCTGGCGGAGGCACGCGTGGCCGTGGTGGTTTTGCTGGTGCCTTTCCCTTGGCCTTTGCACTGGGAATCAGTTCCAAAATGAACTGGTTACCAACGCCAATGTTAGGTTTGGGGGTTGTCGGCACAGGAGGCTTAAGAAACCCGGCGCTATTAGTCGAGTTTCTGCCGCCAATACTGTTTCGGTTGGTCGTGCTAGTCGCTGTGCTGTGAGAGCCGCTCGGGTTTATGAAGCTATTTGTGGTAGACAGAGGAGTCGTGAAGTTGTTAGGTTGAGATTGATTCATTTTGGTAGTGGTGTTAGCAGTGGTGCCAGGGGGACGCCAGATCTCAAACCCTGGTGTGCCGCCAACAGGAGCTGCGTTCGAATGAGAGAGAGACTGCGTCATCGGCGAGGCCACCAATGGGGATGATGCCAGATGCGAGTCAGGTATGGGGGAATGCGCCATCGAACTATGTATGCGGTTGTCTGACATGAAATCGTCGAGGTTTCCAAAATGTGCTGATGATGAACCTACTCTATTGTCTTGGAAGTTGCTGTACGACATGGCGGGCGGGCTGGCCACTATCGGGCTTGTCACTCGTTGTAATGAGGCAAATTCCCCCCAGCTTTGGCCGGTGCCAGTGACCGGGTTTGTGATTCTGTTGGGGTTGAATACTGAGGAGGCGGTGCTGCTGATACCATTTCCGCAATACGACAGAGGATCGAAACTGAGGCTCGCCTGGAAACTATTCATGCTGATTGACGGATTTTGCTCCACCTGCTGATGAGCCTGGTGGTGACTTTGATTGTTGTTGACAGTGGTATTGACAGGCCGCGGTGGAAGAGGAGGAGGTGGCTCGAAGGACTTGTTTTCAAATGGATTGAAACCCTTATTCTCGAAATGGGCGACTAAACGGCCAACCCCTCCGCCAGTCTGAGGCGAACTTAGGGCCTCGAGCTCCATTGCTGTGTCACCTTGGTGGTCTTGGTGTTCGTGGTGGCCATTGGTATAATTTGGTTGCACATTGGACGATGTAGGGGCCCATTCCATTCCCCCAGCATCGCTGAACGACTGGCGAGTATCATGGTTGTGCTCTGGTGCGAGGCTCGACGACGAGGGCGCTCCTTGGCCAAAATCGAACGCCGACCATGCCTGGTTGTTGAATCCGTAAGAGTCTGTGTTGAAGTCAGAAGCCCTCGACTTGTCGGGGGGAAGATTGAACATGGCGACTCGTAGCCAAGCAGACCGAGCTTGTCCGTTGGCCAAAGGTCAGTCAGTGACGGGGACTCGAACGAGTCGAGAACCACGTCTTGATGCTCAGTCGCCAACCCAAGGATTCATCACCTCGTCCAAGTGGCAAAGGGCTGGGCCGGGCAAGACTTCACGAACGGGATGACAAGACTGGCGGCCACTGGCGCCTCATAATCACCAGTTTGAGGGAAAGAACTTGCAGTTGACCAGCCAAATTGGTGCGGCAGTCAGAAAGACGCAAGGGGAGGGTTAAAGAGAGAAATGCCTGAGCTATCGCTACAGTTCCCCAGAATCGGCTGAGGTGGATAAAGCGTTGATAGGGCAGTTCTTGGGGCCAAATCGTGTTTCTGTATTGTCTGGTGCACTGTTGGCAGCACAGTAGGGGTCCCAGCGCTGTTCTGTGGAGGTACAAAAGCCACGCGCTGGAGAGAAGCCAGAGAGCAAAAGTTCCTTGGCCAAGCTTTGCTCGAAGGAAAAGCGCAATGGATGGCTCAAGACGGCTCTCTGGGGAGGGCCTCTGCTGGGATCAGTCCCGGTGCGTGATAAGAGAGAGGCACTGCGACGAAGGCTGCTAGAATCAGCACGAGCACGCAGAGGCACAAGCGACAAAGAAGAGACTGGATGGCAAGACAAGGAAGGTGGACGAAGTGGGGAGGGGAATGTGTGTGAGCTGGGGGGGGAGAGGGACGCAGTTGAACGAAAGAGGGGAATGTAACATCATGCGTGCTCAGCTCCGACGACAAGAGGACTGGCGACATGGAAGCAAATACATAATTGAGGCCGCGGAGCACGAATAGGGCTCCCGACATTGGAGCTGGAGGGCTGTGATGAGAGGGGCGGGTGGCATGCGTGGGAATGCGACTATCGACCAGAAAAAGAAGGTGCGATAACCCCTGGGCCACCACACACAAGCGAGTGCCGCCAATCACGAAGCCATGATACAAGCCCCTGCCACACTTGTCGACTCTGGCCTGGAAAAGGCGAACAAAAGAAAGCCTGCGACTTGCGGGCCAGCAGCCAACGGCCAGCCTCTCAAGCTGCTTGCCTGACAGAACGGACCGACAGAAAGGCTGGCCCGTCCAACGACTCGTTGCCCGCCGTCCTGGCCGATTCCAGAAGGATTCCACCGTCAGCCCCGGCCCATGATTCGTCCTTTGCCTGGACTTGGCGCCCCAAAAGCAAGACTTGGGCCGGTGTGGCCGGCGCCATCGCGTGGCGAGCAGCAACAAGGAAAGCTCATTGCATTTGCATTGTCTCTGATCCGGTGTCGACGAAATCGACATCGGCCACGGTCCAGAGCTATTCCTATTCAATAACGATGTTGCCCTAATCGGCATGTTCCCTGGGTATTGAACAATGCCATTCTGGTCAGATCCGGGTTGGGCGGCGCCGCAGTTCAAGCATTCTAGCACAGCCGGGGCAGCGGCGCCACCACGCAGACGAGGGGAGCAGCAGTAGCCGCAATTGCGAGCATCCGGTACGAGGTCGGGGCGGCTGGTGCTGCCATCGTGGGCGAGGTCAATGGTGTTGTTGCGAGGGCTCTGCCTTGCGCTTGTCATGGCTTCATGGCTTCGTGTCCGGCACTTCGGACTTCCAAGGCTCAAGTGCTGACTGGACTACCGGTATTGATGTTGCCTCGACACAAGAAGCAATCTAAGTATGTATGCTGGCGAGCGGATGGCCCAAGCATGGTGGGGTCGGAGGGTTTTACGCGACTCAGTAGTACTCCGTATGCTTTCAAGTCAGGCAGCTCCAACGGGATCCGTCATGACCATCACGACCGTTGGAAACGTTGCCCCAACACCGCCCGGAGCCCGGACCGGGACCAGATAGAGTCAATCAGACTGCTGGTCCTCGTGGGAAGTGAGCTATGTATGTATGTACATGTACATGCTAAAGGCCGACTGGCTTGTGGGGCTGACTGTATCCAGATGTCGGCGGCTCTAACCACATGTTCAGCGTTCTGATTGTCTGGTTGCCTGGGTCATGTCCCTGGGTCTCTGGGGATGGCCCGGTGTCAGCGGGGGTCTGGAAAGCCAGGATCTCCTGTGTTGATTACCCCAGCCTGTTCCATTTTTGCTCCTGCCACGCAGGCAGGACCAAACGAGCTGCCACGATAGACTGGGCCCGGCGGGTGCAGATACATTTGCCCAACGACGAAGATTCATCTGGCTGACAGAATCCGGACTCAAGTACCGATATCGTGCGACAGAGGCCCATACTCCGTACATGAGAAGAGATGAATCTTGTCTCGCCTGGTTCCGTGGTGCCGGGGTGCCATGTCGGTACTTGTACATGGCAATCGAGACCATCCATCCCATCAAAGATGACCAAGTCGTGACGAGGTCCAAGTGGAAACCTGGGAGCTTCGCTGTCATCTGTAATAATCTGGCAATCTGGTGCTCGGCCGATGGGTTCTTGGTCCAGTTCTTATCCCAGTTCCTATCCCAGTTTCATCGTGGTCGGTGGGGACGGCAAGGTTATGTCTGTCGGCTGGTCCCTAATCCAGCTGCCAATACATACGGAGTATCTTTGACCCTTGCCCGAGCCACCTTGGTTCCTTGAACCAGCCCTCTCAGCCCTCAGCCCATCGACCTGGACTGCCCACGTGCCACCGGACAATGTGGTCGCCCCAGCCATGCACATGCAACCTGTAACCACGCCAGCTGACTGAGCACTTGTCAATGCTTGCTGACACAACACCCCTCGAAAGGGCTTGTCGTCTCGTCCGAGAATCGCGTGTCTCGCCTTGGTTACAACATACTACTACTGGGCAGGCTTGCATAGGTCAGGATACGGGCATGTCTCTACTCCATGTTGCGGAGAATAACAGAAGATTTCTTCGCCTGGAATCCTCCGACCATGACTAGGAATACTACGTAAGGGGGACCTGACCTGGCCTCTTTTTTTAGGCCATTGTCTCGAAAAGAGACGCCAAGCTGACAAGCAGGTCCCGGGAACATGGGTGGGGCAAATGTCTCATTCTGTTGGAGTGTGAAGGACGCAATTGCAAATTCTTACTCATACAACTGTCGTTGCGAAAACATACAACTCTTCTAGTCTGCCAGTGTCTGTGTCGACTCATTCAGGGAGGCCACGATTCTTGCTTTGGCTTTATTATGGGCCGCCTCATATAGGAGCCTAGCTAGCTCCTGCACAAAGGTTCGTCTTCTCACAGCTAGAGAAACGAGGAACAAGGTGCCGTCATGCAGGGCATTTGAGTTCCCCTGATGAGCGCAACAGCATCAGGGAGCGTTCGATCTTGGCAGAATAGCATGAACACAAGGAGCATCTTCCTATTCGGCGCCACATCAAACTGTGGCTCGTACACAAGGATCTTCCTTTCAAGATACTACTAGTGTTATTGTTCATGGCGATCGTTACTCACCAATTGCAAACTTGGAATCTCTCGTCTGTGGGCCAGTCCTTCAGGTTCCCAAAGATTGGAGAGGAGTGATTCAACTTTGTCCTCGATGCGTTCCGGAGGCGTCCATGGCAGAAGCTTGCCATCGATGCCGCTGTCAAAAACTCTGCACCATTGCACATGAGTTTGCACGGTCCAACTGTCATGTATGCAAGGCAAGACTAGAACCGCTAGGGTTTTAAACAAGCTGCACGTCATCCCAGCTGTGATTGCTTGTTCAGCCTGGTATCGGAAACTTTGCGCAGCTCAACATGGCTGTTTGCCACGGCATCGCGCCGCCAGGACATGTCAGTTCATGGGCCTTCCAACACTATACATCTGACGTTTCAAGTGGCTGTTGGGTGTTTTCCATAGGTCAACTAGACGAACTTTAGTAGAGACTGAAGATTCCACCTGCCGACCGGGTATCATGGTAGTGGTTCAGGTCCACGGTGAACGATACGGTGAGAATCATGGGCATCATGCCCAACTTCCAGGCCAAATCCTTCAAACAAACCTCCACCGGCCGTGCCCTTGGAAGTGCTTGCCAAGGTGAAGGCTTTCTTTTTTTGGAATTTCATCTTGAAACAAAGCATTACGCTTCCGCGTATAGCTCTGAAGTCTGATAACGACCTACTCTTCTGGGACAAAGCAGCAGCCTCATGGGGATGGCGGCTCCACCGGGTTGGTATAAGAATTGCATAATCTAAGGAGGTCTGGTTCACGGCTTTACCTCAACTTTGCTCTCCATTCTTTAAAAGAATGGTCGTCAATCCAACTAGGAAATGCATTGCTGCCTATTGATAAAGATGAAGATGACTTTCCCAAGTCTGAGACGGACTCCATCTGTTTACTGGACTTCCATCGTGTTCAGGCCCACGTAATCACAATGCTTATTCCATTCAAGCATGAGCCGAAACCGAGATCCAATACATTTCAGTTTCGTCTGTTATGAGTATCATTTGGGCTCATTCTCTGTCTTGGGCTCTGCTCAAAGCAAGTTATCCTCACTTTCATACCCTTCGTCTCGTCCATGATGCTCACAAAAGCTGATTATTCATGCACAGTCGGAGACGGGATGTTCAACCAAGAGAAAAATATGGAGCCAGTTGCCGTCGTTATTCTGTGGCTTCGATCACGTCCAACACTGCGCTGCTGGTTGGGTCACACAGCCCCATGGCCAGAATACACCCTCTGCTTCTCAATGCACAGACTCACCGTTTCACAGGTCAAGCGTTTGATCTGTAAAAGGCCGAAGTCGCAGTTAAAGCACTTGTCGGTGGATACACCACTGCGTCTTGGCGGCAATAGTATGACTGTGCTATAGCAATCTTCCCGATATGTCCATCTCCGACACCGACAGCCAACCCCATACGCTGCTCCTCATTCATGACACTCCACCGACATGGCATAAGAAAAAAAGCTCATGTGCAATAGACTATTGCGGAATACGGGATGCTGAGGATGTGTCACGCTGTGGTAGTTGCCCCTTCCACGGCGCGGCACAGTTCCCAACTTCCAACAAGGCCCGGGCTATTACGTACTAGATGGTTCGCCACAATGTCTCAAAGGAGACTTGCAAAAGCTGAGCCGTGCGGTTTCGTTCCGAGGAGTGCGTCCGCTGGCTAGCACGTAGTTGGTTCTCGTCCACAGGCCAGCCCCTTTCCCGATCGTGTGTTGGGCAAAGCCAAGTGATTGATCATGCTCGACTCAACCGAGAATGGTGTACGCCAGAGTGCGTAGGCTCGTGCCCTGTCGAGTCCACGGGGAACCAGCTCAACCAGCTCTCCTGGACGTTCCGCACGATTCTTTTCGACCAAGTCGTACTTCCTTGGACGGTTGTTCGCTGTTGACAAAATGTCGAGCTTGAGCCCACAGAGGCTCTGACCAGACAGATGCAGCTTCGGAATGTCGTAATGCAGTTATGTAAAGTGGCAATATCTACTCTAGGAATTTTGGCGACTAAACTTTTAAATGTTGAAAAGTAGCGTCATTCGTAGGCTATTAGTTTCCGATAGCCAGACAATGCCACCTGGTTATCATCACGAAGCGTCAAACCAATAGTCTTGTTTGACTGTTTCGAATCTTGTCCTGGCCGGTCATAGTAGAGATTCGGCAGTGAGCGCCTTCAGGTGGCCCCAAGAGTTGGAATACACGTATAGAATCCACGGTGCGAGCGGGTTCAAAACCACTCCCCAGGACACATACTCTTGCTTCCACACGAATAGTGCATCAATTTCATCATTGTGTCCTCGCTTCTATATTCAGCAGTGAGCGAACTATAAATGGTCGATTCCGTATGCCTTTCGTGGGACATTGATCTTTTTACAGTGTGCGCATTACGATTCTGGCAGAGTTCCCTCACTCATTTCTTGAGGGGGCCGGTTTACAACCGGGACGGCAATCACGAGAAAGCGAATGGGGGCCAAACAGTGCCAATCGCCACGCATGTATATTATTCTATCTCTCGTCCTACAGGCGAGATAGCTTCAAGTCCTAATACTATTACAGCAGAAGCGAACCCAAGTATAGTTCAAAACAAGTCGTTCCTCTCTCTCCCCACGCCCCTTACCCGTCGTTATCTCCCAAGTCCGTAATCCCCCGTTCCAGAGTCATCCACCGTAGTATTCTTAACTTGTGTTGCAATTGTGTCAGCGTATAAATATGCCATCTTCGAGCTCCCATAATTGTATAAATTTCACTGTTATAAAGGAGACGCCTTGCCCGTAGAATAAAATAAGACATAAAACGAATGAAAAATAGTGAAGTGGTGTATAACATATGTTGGGTATAAAAAATAAAGGTTTCGAATAGAATTTCTCTCGTTTCTCTTGTAGGTTAGCAAAGAAGGCTCAGAGAATGTGTGAAGTTTAAGTTGAAAGCAAGATTATGCGTTGCAATTTCGCAGGGGAGCATCGTAATAGTCCGGCTGTGTAGTAGTTATCAGCGGGGACTAATTAACTCGCAGAATCATCTTGTGTATGGCAAAAAAAGAAGAAAAATATTGAAAGCATGAACAAGCCAGACGGGGTGCGTTGTAGGTATGTGATCAAGAACCATCTTCACGGGAGAGGGTGGCCTTCAAACGACGACGCGATGCAGGGAAGCCAGCGGTTTGTATTTGAATATCCGCCGAGAGACGACCTCATCAACAAACCGCCAGTACAGTGAGTTAGGTGGCGTTTCGCTCCGTGTGGCCTAGACTTCCTGTCCTTCATCTTCGTCTCTGAATTTTATGCCACCCTCGACTTGGATGGCATCATGAACCCACGGTTGGCTTGCCACATGATCCATGGTCCAACGGCTGCGAGCACGCTTCAGCAGTCCTTCAGTGATTTCCATGGCACCAAGAAGACCCCTCTCTTTGAACATGGTTATATTGGCCTCATGCTCGCCATCCTCCCCCGAATATTCGACCCAGCGCCATTCTACTCTGGCGATGCGATGGCTTGTCCTGCTACGCATGCGATGTGCATCACTCATGCCAGGGTGCGGATCAAAAGGGAGGCGAGACTCCAAGAGGGCATAAAGAAGAACCCCAAGGGACCATGCATCAATTGCACGACCATCATACGGTTGGCCCATGATGACTTCAGGTGCGGCATAGTCGTCTGAGCCGCATCGGGTTTCTAGCTTCTCGTCGTCTGCAATTCGACGAGATAACCCCAAGTCCGCAAGCGTTATTACAGATGTGGGAAATTTCATCCAGTCGACAGAAGAATCCGCCAGTTCCATTGGGGTCAGGTTGACCAAGACATCTATGTGGAGGACCAGATTAGCTCAGACGCGCAAAGGGCCGAAGTGCAGAATATCTTACTTTCTAGTTTAATGTCTCGATGGACAATCTTTTTCTCATGGAGGTACTTGACTGCGCCCACTAGCTCAGAAAACACTCTGCGCAAAAGAGCTGGCGTGAAAAGCCTTCTGTGAATGGTTGCCATATCGAACAAATCTCCACCGGGACAGTAACTGAGAACCAGAATAGCTCTGGTTGGCTCAATGCTCCATGCTTTAAGGTTAACCAAAGACGGATGGTGTATGCATTGCATTATCTCCAGTTCTCTTTTGAGACTCATCTCAATACGCTCTTCACTTGCGCCACCCCGAGGGCCATGCTCGCAGACTTTGATGGCGACAAGCTTCTTTCGCTTCCCTTTATCTGCCACAAGAGGAGAGGAAGCTTCGATAGGCTGATCCTGTGAATAATCTGTCGACAGAATTTGACTGCTTGCGAGCATCACTCGGCTAAAGGTTCCTTGGCCAAGGAACCCAATTGACCTCCAACGACGTCGTTTTTGGTCATGCCTGCCCCGGGCTTCAAACCACTCCTGATCACCGTCCTTGGATCTCCTGCCATCGACAGACTCTTTCGAAGATTCACTGGGTGGCGGAGTTGGCGGCTGACTAGCTAGGGAAGTAATTCCTCGTGATTCGGCAAAGTTGATTTCTCTCCTCATTCGTGACTCATGATTATCTGGTGTTATATTACGACTGATATGAGGTCCGGACACAGCGATCAGGTGTCGGTGTGATGGTGATGGTTCCGGGACATATTCACTGACGCTCCGGTTCCTTGTATGGTGAACACGTGGTGATTGGCCAGGCTCAGCCAATTGCGTTGTAGTCGGAGGGTTGTCGGATTCGTCCAATCTGCCGTATTGCTTGCGCCTGGTTGGACTAGCTGAGGAAGCCTCAGTCCGCACAGTCTGGCCGTTGGTTACCGCATCGACACTGCCTTGGGGCGCGCATTCAATACTGGGAAATTTGCTTCTGGTCTGAGGAGGTGAGGAGCCAGCGTTAAGTTTCTTCCAGGGCCCAGGAGAATCACTGGAGAGTAATGGGCTGGGCAGTGGGGTCATGTCTCCCATTGCCGCGATAACGGGGCTGGAAAAGCTTCCGCTGGATCCCCCCAGAGAGCTGGAATAGTTGGCAAACGCAGCCTTAATACTGGGAGTTCGAGAGATAGGACGAAGATTATTTGGAGAAGCCTTCTGATCGAATGCTGGTGGTGGTGACAGGCCGAGATTGGCAGCGCGAGATTCGCGATGTCCCGCAGAAACTTGTATAGGAATCGGGGCAGAAACACCAGTGGAGATGCGAAGAGGCGAGCTTATCTCTTGTCTGCCATCCACGTGCTGGTGGAAGGCTAAATGTGAGGCAGGTGGCGATGGGGCGATGGTTTTCGATTGGAACTCGACAAAAGGCCTTGTCGAGGAAGCAGGCGGGTCTGTCAAGGATTTTGTGTCTTGGGTTCCGGAGCCATTGTAGTTGATGTCGCTGGATTCATCGCATGGTAAAGAATCAGTAACTTGAAATACCCCGGAGCTACTCATGGCTGCCGGCCCAGATTGTGCGTCAATCGCCTCGGCGTCGGACCTGTAGCACTGTGACGAGTGATGTCAATGATTTGTGTTTGATAAAATATTTCCACAAACACGGTTGACAATCCATACCCCGACAATGGCTTTGGTGCAAAAGCGTAGTGGACTTGGAGGAGTAAACGATGCGAGGCAGAAGGACCTGATGGTGCGATTGGGAGGCGGTGGCCGGTCGATGAATTTGACGAGGCGTCGTCGCGGGGGTGCACGTCGCAGGGCGTAGGACGAACAAATGGATGGCTCTTCTATAACAACATGGGGCCGGTATTGCGCCGTACTGATGTCGGCGACTGATGTTGGTGATGATGCGTACGGCGCGGGAGGCGACCCGTCGGACGTAGACTGGCGAGACTGGAGAGAGCAAATCGGGGTGAGGAAGGATTGAAGTCGTTGATGGGCTGGCTGTAGGCAAGAACACACAGCGCGACTGGTGGTTTGGCATCGGCAGGAACACCAGACTCGAGCTGTCAGAGTGGGGCGTGGTAGCTACAGTGTCAAGCGTCTCCTCAAGCGGCAGGAGCGAGCCAGAGGATGCACGTGTGGGGTCGACCAGTCTCGATAGGCAAGAGTAACCAGGCCGTTGGATACGACAGGACGCACTCGACGCACATGAATGCAGCAAAGGTACCTCCTGGGCACTTGGGCTCTTGAAAGAAAAAGCTCTGCACGGAGAGATGGATAATTTTCCTACGCCGCAACACTACACTCGACATACATACATACAATATACACGGTTCTGCTCCATGCCCAATCCTCGGGATTCCTGATTTGACCGCCTGGCCCCACAGGTCTATCATTCTTGTGGAATCTGCTCCGTACCAACTACTACCGAGTATCTCTCGATCTGTGTTGGAACGTGTTGTGCAATCCCAGCATCATTCCAGTCATGAACCAGCAGGTGGCACAATAGACAGACAACAACAATAGGAGGGTGCATCGGCTGCCAAACTTGCAGGCCTCTTCCCGTCGTCACCAGCCTCCACGCGGTTAGTGGTGCTTGGACACCTGCATAAAAGTCACGACGAGTGTTACGTTTCCATCGACGCCACTCTATGTTGTACGTTGCACAACGTATCTGCAGCAAGGTTCTGTCCAAGATCCCTCTATCAGGTACATACCGCGCGCCGCACGAGTAAATAGACCAGTGACCTCACACAGACCGTCATGGCAACCGTCAACACAGTCAGGCCTGACGAGCAGGGCCAGTCGACTTCTGTCTTACCCTACACCTCTGCAGACCGTGAACGAGTGTCCCAGGGTAAACTACCAAGGTCTACTTCCTCGCCGAAAATGCATCGATATTGGGATCGATACGGTGTGTCGTGGAACTAGCGTGTGATTCCCTCCTTGCTAAGATCTCTTCACAACACTACCTACGAGGTAATTCACAAGTCAGGAACCCTGGCGATGGAGACGCTAGAGCGTCTGGTTTGCATTTGTTCCCCCGAAGGCCCGTTCCGCGTACTTATTGGCACATAGTGGCAGGAGCGATGCAGCTTCGAGACAATGCAGCTGGCGTTGAAAATCGATGGATATTTTCAATTCCAAATCAATTCCATTCTTTGGCGCAATCTTATACGAAGTTGTACATGAACGGCATGAATGCAGTCCAACTCAACATGTTGTGAAATACAATGCCCCTTGCGGCATTTGAACACCTCTTGACTCGTGCAACCCTAACATTACTGGGCGCCTCCAGCGGTGGCTTGCATGGGTTGCAGCTGTCAAATGTGACAAGCGTCTTCTTTTCTACGGCGCCAAGGTATCCCGGACACAAGCCCATCTTTTAGACTTTGACTGGAGGTATGGAGGGGAACAGGTTGGAATTGCGTTGGACAAGTTCTATCAACAATGGCCGAAGAGTATTTAACCAGGCATGTGGCTGTCGCGCTCTGTACTATACTGCGTACTGTCATGAACTGTAAAAGTAAACCCCACGAATAGGAGCATCAATGTGGGTAGATTAATGAGCTAACACACCAGGCTATTCCCAAGTCCAGTCAGTTCCGCGGCATTCCATTTTCATATTTTCTGACGTCTCACAGGCATTCGTCATTGGAGTCCTCTGGATTAAGCCGTCAATGTGCCAGGATAAGGGTTTCGTTGGTGCTATTGAGCGGCCAAAACTATGGAACCAGAATATTTACCTGGCTTATACTATACTGTACTATGAATATTATACAATATTATGATATAATACACGATAGGTATATAATATCAATATTATACGAATATACTGGTATATACGTGATATACTTACCAGTAGTACACGTAGCACCAATAATATACCAGGAGCAAAGAGCAAAATAATAGAAACTAGCTTTAAGATGTTATGATTATTGACATGCTGGGTATATTACGATCGGCATCTGCCAGCGATTGCGACTCGATCTGCTGGACGATGTCACGTGCAATCACCACATCGCCGCTCCAGCTTTTAGATGCTTGGTATACAACAATCAACACGCAGGCGAATTTCCACATTGCACCCACCCAATGGTTCGCAACTCCGAGCCCGGGAACATATTCCGACTACGCCTTTACGCCTCGGACATTATGCCCCGTCTGTCGCAACGCCAAGACACACTGCGAGTTCCCCGGGATCGGCACGGTGAGTTTCCATTTCGGCCGTCGGCCAGCGTCTGAGCCCAAAAGGATATGAGCCTCGCCGGCGCCTGGCGTTTCAGAGGCTGGATTGGCCAAGCGAGTGCCGAGGGTCTGTGTGAGAACCAGACAGGCGGTTCCAACAGGCATTGGGCAAACGCGAAGCCGTCGACGACAAGACCAAGTGCGAGAGGGATATGAAGTGGCTGAGGTCCACGGGGTCCTGAAGATCTCCAAACGCCAAGGCAGCCGCCACCAGTGGATCATGACTCAAGCCATTGCCAAAAAGTAGGGTTGGGGCAGCCAGAGAGAGACGTTTATATCGAGCTCTGGGGGTGGGTTAGGTTTTTGATGGCAATAGGCGTTGTACATGTAAGTGGTCGCCGTGGTCTGTGGATGAGGATTTGCTGTATCGTGATTTGGCTTCCTCTACCGCCCACATTTCTTGACTTTACATCGTCATGGAATTAGAGGTCCAATATGCTCCTTTCCAACCTGGGGATGCGGGATCGGGTTTTGCGTGCAAAATGGCTGTGGCACCATCGACGCCGCGCGCAATATGGCAATCTGGTCGTGACAATCGCCTCCCCCCCATCAACTTCCAAACCCCAGTCTCTGGCCCACGCAGATGCACCTCCCAGGGGGGGTTGAAGAGGCTAAAGAGATACGAAGTACAACGTAGCTAGTTAGCCCAACGCCTTTGATTGTCTGCTTCAACCTCTGGCGGTGCTGTGTCGCTTTCTTCCCTTCACACAACTTGACCGGCATTCGCCAGGAGAGCAAATGACTGTACGGCTGAAGACGACCACGGGGACGACGGCATCATCACCATCGCCACGATGAGATTAAAACAAGCTTCTACGTATCTGCTGGCCCTGACGTTGCCCTGGCATTGTCTTGGTGCCTCGAATACCAAGGTTCCATCGGCGGCGGACCTCGCGGCCTCGTTTACCAAGATTCCTCCCTGTGCAGTAAGCTCGAGTGCCGTTTCTACTGTTATCGTCTTTAGAGATATCCAGACTCACAGCCGTCTAGCTCGAGTGCCTTGCTCAGTCTGTCGCCGAGGCAGGTTGTGGCCTCACCGATCCACAATGCATTTGCGTGGACGAGTATGTTGCCATTGAGAAGGCCGGCGCGCCTTGCATTTTGGAGGCGTGCAGCTTGACAGAGGCATTGTGTAGGCACAGCATTTTACACCCCTTTGAATTCAGGACCCTTGCTTCTAACCAACTGGTTGTGAGTAGCCACCAAGAACGTCACCGAAACTGCCTGCCTTAAACCGATACGGGATAGCAGCCGACGTTACGATACCATGAACATTCTTTTAGGCGTCATCACGGCACTCCTAGTTGTGATTCGACTATTGTTCAAGAAATTCTTCAGCTATAGGCGAGAACTCGGTGCCGACGATTGGGTCATCCTTGCAACCGTGGTTATCGGAGTACCGTGCACCATCATCAACAAGGTCGGCCTGACTGCCAACGGGCTGGGGAGGGATGTCTGGACCATCCCGGTCGACCAACTGATTAGATTTGTCATGTTTTTCTATATCATGGAGGTCCTGTACCTCACCGAAATGGCCCTCATCAAGCTCAGCCTATCGCTGTTCTATCTGTACATCTTCCCGGGGTCGGGGATCCGCCGCCTTCTCATGGGGACTGCTGTCTTCAACGTCGTCTTTGGGTTTACGTTTGTCACGACGGGCATCTTCCAGTGTACGCCGGTCAGTCGGTACTGGACACAGTACGTTGACCCCGACTCGCCCGGCCACTGCATCAACATCAATCTATTTGCGTGGATCCACGCCGCCCTCAATATCGCCCTTGACGTGTGGATGATTGCGCTTCCACTGAGCCAGATCAAGAAGCTGGAGCTTCACTGGAAGAAGAAGATTGGCGTCACCTTAATGTTCTTGCTTGGGACCTTGTAAGGCTAAACATCATCACCCTTTCTTTCCATCTGTGTTGACGGGGGTCCTGTTTGAGAAACTTGCAACTGATGTGTGTTTGTCTTCCAGTGTTACCATTGTCTCTATCCTGAGATTGCAGTCCCTCGTCGACTTTGCAAATTCCACCAATCCAACGTGGGACAACTGGATCGTGGCCTGGTGGTCGACCATCGAGGTCAATGTTGGCATGATTTGCACATGCCTGCCAACCGTGCGTCTAATTCTCGTGCGGGCGGCGCCTCGGATCTTCAGCACCAACATATCTCATAACAAGTCTGACCCGACGCACAATGGCACCCACAATCGGTACAGCAGGAACAGCAAGATCATGGGCCACAAGCAGATTGAGCTGGCGAGCATCGAGACAAGGATAGTTGAAGAAGGAGAGAAGCCGAGGAAGGCAAGAGCATTCTTTGGCGCCGAAGGATAATTATGTACGACCCGAGGAGGGCAAGTATAGAATGGCCGCATCATACTTTTGCGTGTTAAAACGTCTCTGGTCGGGGGTTTTGGCCACCTGTCTCATATACCACAATAAGCGAGCGTCAGAGATGGTTTGTGTAGTCGTAAATTTTAAAAGCTTGGGAAAATTCAGCGACCAAATTAGATATATCGTCTAGTCGTGACTCGTGAGTTGACCCGGTCCTGCTCCTTTGTGCAAAGTACAGCACATGCTCGTGCGTAATTGGCCTTGAATTCCGTGATCCATCTCTGAAAAACTAGGAGATAGTACGTATATCCTCCATGTCCTCGGCCGCCCTGTCCAAATCTTGCTCGGCAATCTGACAAGTGGGACACTGGACTTTGACCCCGGCCGCGAACCACCTCACCGCAGATTGCCAAACGTCACCGCGATCCTTACCCCAGTCCTGAGTATTTAGCCGGTCCAGTTTCCGCGACCAGTATGACTTCCTGGTTGGTCGGTAGCTGGCGCAGTCCACGCAGAGACCCCAGGCTCGCGAGCGCCGGGATTGAATAAGACCTCCCCGGACGCGCGGGAGGATGGAGCCAAGTTGTCTGCAGCGGCAAATCTTCGTCGACACGGAGTCCAGATTGGAGGATGCGAGTGGTGTCAAGGCGAGAGCCCAGGGCTGGCGGTGGCTTCGCGGACAGGGGACTTGAAGATTACAGAGATGCGCGATTGATAGGAGGGGCCTGCAGGTGAGTGCGAGGAGTATGGCTTCCACAGGGGGAGACTGTGTGAAGATTTGAATGAGGATCTCCGGGGGCAATCTTAGAAGACTACAGGATGTCGTGTTATTTGTTGGGCGGAGGAGCTGATGCGTGTAAGTGAGTTGAAGCGGAATAGGAGAGAGACGTGGGAGGATTACTCGCCTCGGGAGGGATGCGAAAGCTGTTGATGGCGGTACATGGTTGGTCATCCTGGGTTTGTTGCGCATTCCGGGTACGGAGCCGGCGGGACATGATCTCTCATGTTGGTGCTCGATTTTTTAATCTTTGATTCTTCAACGTTGCGATGGGCTGACTGGCAGATTTACATGCATACATCCGGAGCCAAACGTTGGTGTTCACATGCACCAGGTAATAGTCGGGTTCCATAGTCACAATTATCACGCACCTGATTGGCCGATAACCTTAATTGGCGACCCCCACATCGACGCGTCTGGACGCGTCTCCTTTGGCCATGGCCTCACCTTCGTGCACCCTTTTTTGATACACCAAGTTCTCAATCTCTGGCGCCGAGGTATATCGATGATTTCTCGCTAATACGGCTCTGCGAACACCATCATCATGTTGCGCCAGGACTACAGTCGCATTGACCCGAAGCGTCGCAATACCGTGGACCACAGAAAGACGCCGTTCGCGATTCCGCAGTACAAGGACACCGAGTATCCTCACCGACTGAACTTTTACACCGACGCGCCGACGGCCGACATCACCCTTGAGCAGTTTGAACAATGGGCCATTGACCGCCTACGAGGTCCGCAGCCGTTACGCGCTCGTTATTGTAAACTAGCATGAAATGCTGACATCCGTCATAGTCCTGGCGGAATTGGAGGCCTGCTCCTTTAGAAACCGCGCACCGGCTGAAACGGCCGCACACATGAAGCCCATTCTGGACAAGTACCTGCCGCTCGATACGCGCGGCTCTTCTGCAGACCGACTACTCAGCCAGAGACAAAAGGACCACTATAGTCACTTTATCCTCCGGTTGGCATTCTCTTCGACAGAGGACCTGCGACGGCGATTCACGCGTGTGGAAACGATGCTCTTCCGCTTGAGATTCAATAACGATGACTTGTCTGAGCGGTCGGCATTTGTGTCCAGTCTCGACTTGGATTGGTGGGAGGCCGTGACAGATGATGAGAAGAGGGAGTACGCCTCGGATTTGGCCGCCATGGCGACGGGTCCCAAGAAATCTGCCGCCGAGGACGAAATGTGGTTCAAGGTGGACTGGGAGAGGGTGCCAGAGTTGGTTGACGGGCGGAGGGTATTTTTGAAGCAGGGCAAGGCGTATGTGCCGGCGAGGGAGCAGTCCAGCATGGTGGTGGCGGAATTTTCGTCGCGCTTGGAGAAGCAGCTCGAGGTATGTGTGTGATGCACGTCGTCTCTTGAAAACATCTGAAGAAGTCCTAACAATCCCTCACAGATGACTGCGCGCGCTCTGCCGCGTCTAGACGAAGACGACCGTCTGACACCCATCCTGAACCACCTCTCCAAGAATTTCATCACCCCCGACTCGGCGTACACATCCAACTCGTCGGCCCCCGCTGGCGCCCAAATCACCGCCTCCAACATCGACAATCTCTCCCAGCACTTCCCGGCGTGCATGTCCCACCTGCACCGCTCCCTCCGGCGAGACGCCCACCTCAAGCACTTTGGACGCCTGCAGTACACGCTGTTCCTTAAAGGCATCGGCTTGAATCTCGAGGAGTGCCTCATGTTCTGGCGCAGCTCGTTCCACAAAATCACCGACGACCAGTTCAACAAGGACTACAGATACAATGTGCGTCACGCGTACGGCGACGTGGGCGGCGACTCGAACAGGCGAGGAGGCGGCTACAGCCCCTTTAGCTGCCAGAAGATTCTGACAGAGCACCCCCCTGGACCGGGGGAGGCGCACGGCTGCCCGTACAGACATTTCGACATGGAGAATCTGACGGCGCTGGTGCAGGCGATGGGTGTTTCTGACCGATCCGTGCTGCAAGGCGTCAAGGAGGACAAGGAGACTCAGAAGTACCACATGGCTTGTAATAGGTATGTTGGCTCCCGAATGGGGAATTTGCCGAGACGGTTGCTGACCATGGGATTGTTTACAGGGTGTTTGAGCACCTCCATAAAGCTGAGATTAAAAAGGCCAAGGATGAGGGCGTCATGACGTCGAATCAGCTCGAGACTATTGTTCACCCGAACGAGTACTTCAAGAGGAGTTATCTGCTGAAGAATCTGGGAAAGGAGAGTGACGTGAAGATGGAGGAGTAGGGTAATAATTGGATTTGCACCTTTTTGGTTTGGGGTCCGGGCTGGTTGGGAACAGAAACGGCATGGTTGGGAGTTTGGAGTTCGTTATGCTGCAGTACAGCGATTATGCTCACGTTTTTCATTTTTGATGCTGAACGATTTGTATGCTGCGTGGATGTGCCCCCGTGCTTTCTCTTGGCTATCTTGAGTACTTTGTTTCCTACGACACATGTGAGAAGACGGCTAGATACCTAGGCATTTATTTAGTCATGTCTGCTCGGGGTGGTATATCCTGTCCCCTAGGCCACCGCAAACCACTGACTCGTCTCCATTTTCTGCAAAGTTCGAGAGCGGGATGGGTATGAGCATGAGCATGAGCATCTTGACGAGATGGATTTCTTGATTACAATGCCGGAGTTGCATCTTGACGTTTGGTTTGTCTTGCCGCATCCGTCTGGTGATGAGCCAATAGTGAAGGTGTGACTACTAGCGCCCGGCAGGCCATGTTTTCCTCTTGAGTAGTTTTACGAGCTAATAGTAGAGGTAGCACGAACGTTGGCGAGGTTTACCTTTTTTTTTTTTAGCAAGAAGTTACTGGGCCTTTTTAACTCCGTCTGTAGGATTGTTGGGGGGTATTACAAGAAGCTTGGGACGCCTTTTAATGAGACGTTGGGGATCCCGTGATTCTTGAGCAAAAGTGAAAAGCCAGATGCCCTGTATCCGGCCTTGGAGCAAAATCTACATCTGAATGGCGATGAATTCGCAGACAAATGTCGTAATAGCAGAGCGATGGTTGCATCTGACGCTCGTCAAAACAGATAAATGGTTAACAAGGCCAAGATAAAAGGCAATGGTTGAGCTTGATAATATAGTTTTTTGCTTTTTCAAGGGGGCGCTTTTACTATTATTACCTTTTCTAGATAATTTCAAAACATGCTGTTTATTTTCTTCAAGGCATACATTTTTTTCTTTTTTTTTAAAAAAAAAATAGAAAAGGAGGGTCATTATCGGACAGATCTTTCAGACAAGGCGTCACGCTACCACTGACGGACATGTCAATGGAAAAAACTACCAGAACACTTGGCAAAGAATGCAGAACTGGACTCTTGGGTTCAGTCTGTGCAAAGGCAACAGGGTCCCCAACCAACGTCGGAGGTCTCGATGTCATGAATCCGTGGAAATCTTTGGGCGGCACGTCAAAACCCCCAGACATGGGTGATCCCTCGCGCGAGGATCAACACATACAACAATACATTGAGCAGTAGGATCCTCCACGACCGACACCTGGATTCCCCAATGTGGTAGGTCGCGAGGCTCTCGTTTGGCATATACCGGCAGTGAAACAAATGCCGTCGGTCAAATGCAACGGCAAACTTCGTACGGAACCGTGGCATAGCGTTGCATCGAGCAGGCTCTCGACCAACAAACAGCCAAACCGCACCTCTCTCTACCCTTGCAAATCTTCAATAATTGCATCCACGAGAAAACACCACGGCGATGCCCCTCTTTCTGAATAAACAAAGGGATGCTGCACACGCCCCCCTTTTTTCCTCCCGCATACACATACGAGCAATCCCTACACGAAGAGGGGGTCACGATGTGCGATGAGGTCAGGATGAGCAGGGACTTGGCAACATGTGGGTTTATATAATTGGCTCCGAGGGGATTTGGGTTGGGCGCAAGAGGAAAAAAACCTGAATGGTTGACGACATGGGGCTTTTGCGCGGCCGAGTCTGGCAGCTGGACATTGTGCATTGGACTGCTGTGCGACGCGGATGATGAAATGGTATGCATGCGGGCAGCACAATGGCATCACTTGATTCCATGAATGGCGCGGACACTGGCGGACCTGTGACTGTGGGGAGATCAATTGATCATACATACGGCACCGAGTACATACTTGGACATTGAAGGCCTGGATGGCCCAACTGGTCGGCCATTCGAGGGGCCCTTTTTAGTAGTCTCAGTGCTGCCCGGTCGCGGGGAGGGAACATTGAACATTGAACCAGACTTGACACATACTTGACGATTGACAGCCAGCACCCACGCACGTCGCCAACAACATCGGCGGTGTGTGTCGAGCAAGCAGACAACATGGAAGAGGCCGGTGAGCCGCAGAGCGGGCTGTAGGGCCAGCCACTCAGTTTACACGCCGACTTGGACTCATGGCCTTGTTTGGCATCTGGTAATACGCGGCATGGCCACGGTCAGCCCCAACGGTGGATGCCGGGGGGTGCGACGAGCCAAGCAGCTGCCGAATTTCCAGAAGCATGAGCATGAATGAGCATGAAAAGAGGTCCCGTCAAATTCCATCTTGACTCGACGACGACGAGGCAGACAACGAGGCCCCTGACGCGCGTGGCCTGCTTCCAAAGACCTGGACCGCGAGGACAGTTCTTACTCAGTAGTATGTACAATGCATTTTGAATCGAACATGGCATCAACAGTTTGGCAGCCTTGTTGCTCCTTTTTTTAAAACCCTCTTTTTCCTTCTCCATCATCACGACTGGACCCAAATATAGCAGCCCAACGTTGCCCAAAAACAAGCACTTGAGCACGGTCCAGAATCTGTCAACTGCTCTTTGTGCGCTCAACAGGGCCACCCTGGTCGTCAGGGCGTGCAGTCAACGCCGACACAAACACATGCATTCACAATAGGGAAATAAAAAAATTAATGAAGTAAAATTAAAAATAAAGCCATACCCCGGCTTGCCATGGACGTCTTGGTAACGCGTCCCACACGAGATACGGGATGACAGCGGGAGCCAAACCAACGACGCCATCTGCCAATGCAGAACGCGCCGTGGCCCATCCCTGTGCTGAAGCTTCTCCGGACCGCTTGAAACGGGCTCCCACCTCGGGCTCTATTGCCAGGGGTGTATATACGGCTGGGAATAGGAGAGCATCTGCTAAACGAGCGGCTAGGGAACCGGGAAACGACAAACAGGGGAGGGAAAAGAGCAAGACAAGGAGCAACATGAATGGTTTGACTTGCTGGCAGAAGGGCCACATCGTGTTGAATGGACACGGCAGAAGCATGTACTACACCCACTGTATGTACAATGTAGATGCCGGATGTTGGTCAAAACTTGCGAGATGGAAGAGCATACATGCTGAGAGTGTAGATTCATCCTCTGGCTCGGGAACCTTGGAGAACAGCCCGAGACTTCACCGCGAATACACAGATCCTGGTGCATGCTCTGTTTGCAGGCGTCATATTCAATTTCGCCACTCTGTTACCATCTTTCACCGTATTCCATGTTTCACTATATTCACCTCGATCGACATCTTTGCATCCATCCGTCCTGCCAGTCTGTTTCCGCATTTACCGCGTTACGACTTCGTATTTTCAGCCCAGTAATTGGCTGTACTCTTGACACAGAGTGGAGATCACCTTGGTTCTCTCCGTTTATGAAGAAAGGTCGCCGCGGCGGCACACAGTGCGGTCAAGGTGCAGTCCGCACGTAGTGTAATTATAGATGCCGCATGCATGTCCTCCGTATATACAATGCAGCCAGCACTGAGAACAATAAAGGACAAAACATTCATGCAACAATGGTATTGTACGTAGTCCGTGTCATGAGTCAAGTCCAGCCCGTTTCACTCCCGCTCACACATGTCGCTAGTGCTATTTAAACACTGCCCAAGGTAAAACCAAATCTATTTATGATCGAGCCGTATGCCGGGCAAATGCCACTGAGCCAACCGCAGCCAACGGTTGACACGTCGAAAATGAAAAGCCACCTGCAAGCACGGCCTCTTCACCTGCGCACGTTTCACCCCGAAATAAACCCTGTGAATATACATAGTACTCACCGACGCCGGCCAATATGTGAATGGTAGCATCCAGGTAAAATTCGCCGTCTGGCCGCTGATCATGGGCAGGCAGGGTACGACACGTGGAAATGGCAAGGGCCCCCTTTTCCCTCTCTCTACTCAACTCGGTGCCCCCTGTGCTGTCTTGTATCCTCCAAGAGGGATCTTGCCCGTCGCCGTGTAGATCACTTGGCAGCGGTTCAATCACAGCGCAGAACCGAACCAAATGGGGAAGGTAGGCGGCCGAGGAGACACAGAAGACGTTTGCAGCATTGTAGAATCCGTACGGGCGCACTGCGAGCGACAACAAAAGCAGACTTGACACTTGTTTTCCTTCCGGCTCTGCGGTTGGGCCGCACAAAGAGGCAGCTCCTTCGTGAATGCTGAAACGGCCGTGGGAGCTGCATGAACGGAAATGCCGACGATCCAAGCAGAGTCTCGACAGGAAATTGACCCCACTCTGCCTGTCAAAAGAAGCACCGGTCGAGTCAATCTATCAAGCCGTCTGTCTGGTCGACGCGGGCCCGCGTCAAAGGCCGCCCGGAACTGAATTGTCATCTGGCCGTCGTGCCTTGCATAGCCATTTCCCGAAGCCCACCAGCTGAGCCTCTCATCTTGTCAATGGCATGTACAATGCGCCGCCAGATCAGCATTTGATGCGAGATGGGTCGTCGGACCAACCTTGCACATCGGCATCGGCATCAAGGCCCTCGGTTCCGAGGGCCACGGGGCAGAATCTTGGTGCAAGCGCCAGGAGATTGTCCCTCTCGTAGGGTCTGCGGGACAAGAAAAAAAAAGCAGCACCCCGACCGACCAAGAGGCCCTTTCAGGATATGACTGCCACGGCAAAGCACCCGGCCATCTTGCCAAGAACACCGGCGACACCAGTCTCACATTGTTGCTGTGGGGGGACCCTATCAATTCGGGTCTGTCAAGCGAAACGCAGCAAATTTCGCATTTAGAAAAAAAAAAAGAAAGAAACACGACTACGAGTAGTACTAGGGTACACGTGCCCCTGTAGGTAGCTTCCCAGCCCAACGGGACGCCTGTCTATTGGGAAAAAGGAAGATCGACCCAACCACGCTTCTGCACGCCTTGTCAACAGCCGAAAGACGGCGGAAATAAAGACAAGAAAAAGAGCATGGCCAAGGCGAAAATGACCAGTTGACACGCACGGCCACAGGTACGCGCGGCACGGGGCTTTT